TATAAGGGCCCTACAGTCCATCCTGGGCAGAGGTAAGGATGGACCATGGGATCAGCATCCATTTCAGGCAGAGCCATAAAAGTTGGCATCCATCCCATCTTAAGCAAAAAAGGGATGGACTGGATGCTTGGAAACATGGGAGTAAACTAATGGGGGAGATTTTGGTATAAATCCTACACCAAACTTGAAAGATTACACACAAACTCTCCTGCTCTAACACAATCCAGATCCTCTTGAGATTTTAATTGAGTGAAGTATTCAGCTTAATAATATTAATTTTTACTATTTACTTTATTCTTTAAATTTGTAGAAACTGTGAACTATGTGTTTTAACTGCAATATATACTGAACAAGTTAACCACCCTCTGTTATCAGACTTAGGCCCTGTTTGGCATACCAGAAAAATACTATTTTTCTGACTTTTATATCATTTTTCTATCGTAAATTTTTTAAAAAAAGGGAGGCGTGTTTGGCATGCATATTAAAATGGATTTTTTTTTAAATTTAGGACCTGTTCAGTATGTCACTTTTATGGCATAAAAGTAGTTTTTATGGCATAAATTTCTCCAACAAAAAACTTTTATATTAAGGAGGTATTTGGCAAGGTCCAAAAATATGACATATGTTTCTCTTGGTATGATATTTCTTTTATTCCATATTTTTCACCCACAGTTTAGGTAGATAGAAAAACAAGAATAGAGGATGAGTGGTCTTCTGACTTGTTGTAATCATATACAGTAGTGTGATAATAGGAAGCTTGTTAGATAAAAGCTGATCACCCACAAGCTGCTACCAAGTCTTAATTTATCAATACAACTCCAGTGGGTCACAGGCAGACAGCATGGAACTATCACTTTTAGGGTATTTCAAGTAAAACAAATATATTACCCTACAGTGTACTTAAATTTATCATTACATAGTAAGTATATTTTAGGCATACCAAACACTCATATTTTATTTTAACATATATGCTATTTACACCTTTTATGATCATAAAAAATATAATGGACATACTAAACAGGCCCTTAGTGTTGTTTTTTTTTATAGCATTTTTTTTGTGAAACATATAGGACATTAGGGTATAATAGAAAGATAAAATAGAATAAAAAGAGCAATAATATGACTAATACAAGTATTATGAGAATGATAATAATTTAAACAAATTTTTCTATATAATTTTAGTAAACATTTTAATTAGTTCAAGAGTGTTTTATAAAGATTATAATATAATGATCCTGTAAGAATAAGCTATGGCAACCTATATCTATACCCATATATGAGACTCTGAGGTCAAGTGGTAGACTAGGTATACATGCCAGAGCATATCTAAGGAGAGATCTGATAGTCAGGGTATCTCTACAAATATAAGGTACTTAAGGGATAGGTGTATTATACTGGTTTGGCTGAGTTGAACATTTTCAATCATATATAATTTTAAAAAATTTGGCCTAGCCACTAATTTGTCATAACATAAAAAGAGTGCTAGAATTTAGGTTTATTTAGTTTAAACCTATTATTTAGTATTTTTTTTGATCATAGATCTAAATCCTGATATTCAGAAACCTTTGCCAAACATGATTATTTCTGAAAAATGACATTTTTTTAAAACAGCTTTAAAGCCATTTTTACGAAAAATGGCATTTCTTTTTATGGTGGTGTGCCAAACAGGGCCTCAGTGTTTATTTGGATTTGCCCAATCTTCCAAACTACAATCCATCTTACAATTCAAATTATTTACTTCCACTCTCCCGCAAACCTCACAGGATGTTTTGCTGCCTTCCCCGCATCACGGCAGTGGAAGTCTGTATTGGAAGCAGCATGTGCAGAGCGTATGGGATGGCACTCAGATGAAGCCACAAAAGCTTTCAAAAAACTTCTCATTGGAGAAGTACAGCTGCCCAATCCACTGCGAATGCAAGTTGATCCAGCACCTGGAGAGTAAGAGGAATGATCCCTGGGCTAAAGTTGCTCTTTTTAATTCCCTTGGTACGGTGTTCCCAACCGTCCCGGGCACCCTACAGGGCCCTGGCGGGCTTGCAGTCCCGGGCATCCCGGGCATGGTGGGTAATGACGGCAGGGCATGGCGTCCGTCTTTGATAAAGACCGCCGTCCGAGGGGTTGACTCCCAGGCCCGAGAGTCTTAATACAAATGGAATCTTCCGACCATCCTCACCAGGGACCAGCCGTCATTTGCAGAGCCCGACTGTCATTCGCAGGGCCCAGCCATCATTCATAGAGCTTGGCTGTCATCTGCAGGGCCCGACCGTCACTCGCAGGGTCCGGCCATCATCTGCAGGGCTCGACCATCATTTGCAGGGCCCGGCTGTCCGAGTAGTGGTTAAGACGGACCACAGGATAGGTGTCCCTCCAGGGCGAAGTTCCAGAAACCGGTGTCCGTCTCGTCCGAAGCCAAGGATGGACGGACTAAACGCTTGGGAACACTGCCTCGGTGTATTCAAGCTGAGCTGCTCTGCCTGCCATCAGTGGATACAGGCATTCCCCGGGCTTGGAGAGAGACAATACTACGCTAGAGGGTCCCACAGCAAATGGTACTCGCCGTGGGGCCTACCCACCAACAATAAGCAGCGATTGAATAAGCTCATGGCCCTCCGGTGCACTGATCACTAGACCTCCTATCTGATGGCGTTTGGAATTGGGAGCTCAGATTCTGATAGCAGTGCTGCAGCATCTCCATCCTCGGAGGTGGATATGGGTGGTACTTCTGATACCGATAGTGGCACACAATTCCCAACCCAACCCCCAAACCAGTCAGAGAGACCCTAGAGAAATTGAGGTAAGGTTCTTTGGAGTCCTTTGACATTCTTAGCAGAATAAAAAAACAGGTAATAGCTTGAGGGGGGGATGTCCCGGAGCCCTCAGATTTTTCGATTTTGGCTAACCCATTCATAAGTATGTTTTAATGGTGGGCTCCGCCGGCAGTGATCTGCCGTGGAGAAATGGGGGTGAAGTTCGGTGGAGTCCTGTGACATGATTTGGCTGGATCGAAAGTGGTAATACTTTGAAGATGCCATGTTCCAGGAACCCCAGATTTTTCAGTTTTGGCTAACCCCCTATTAGGTATATCTTAACGATGGGCTCTGCCGGCAGCTATCCGCCCGCGTTCTTCCGCTAAAGTATCTCTAAGGGCATATATGGAACCAGGGGTCCGTGGAGTCTGCTTCTCCCACTATAGCTCTTTGCACTTATTCTTTTTCCTACTTTTAATCCTTTTGCTTCCTATCTGCTGTATCTCAGATTGCCTGTTTGTCTATGAAGATAGAAAGAGGTTCGCATTACCCTCCCTTAGACCACTCACTTGAAGACCACAAATTGACCAGATGACAGGACTCCAATTCCCGGCAATCACTACCCCTATTTCTGAATTAACTCACTTTACGGTGTTGGGGATGGTTGTGGGGTGCGGTTGGTGAGGCGCAATTTGTGTAATAGAGAGCAAGAACTAGTGTAACAAAACCAGGCAAAATAAACAGGAACAACACGTAGCGTTCTACTCGGAATACGGTCTTACTGATATCACGACAGTAAAAAGAACAAATTATGGGATGGAGCTCAGAAGAGGAGAGTATTGCGTGAATTGCCTTAAGCCCCAATAATCCCTTCAATATTCCTGATTTATCTTTCTGGGGGATAGTAAGCGTAAACAAGAAAGTAAGTGTCTGCGCTTCGGGATTCTACAATCGCCGACTCTCTGCTTTTTTTGATTATATCCAACCCCGAGTAGGGATGCATCAGATGGACCGGGAACTCGCTGTGTTTTAATAAATCCTTAGTACCTACAATTCCCGGTTTCTATATGATATAGGTGCTTGAGGTGAAAATGATTGTTGGTGGCGACCGGTACACAAGTATGGAGGTAAATTATGGGACAGATGAGTGCGGGCGTTCACCGTGGTCAGATGTAAAAAATGGAAATATATGGAATAATGCGGGTGGGAGCAATATTTGACATGCTCCAACCCGGCTCTTTATACAATCACTTAACCAGATAATAGTGTCAACCTGTGGCTATAAGAGAAGTTTTCCTCTTACAGTTGTTGGTCTTGTAATTCGTGATTGAATTGAATTTTTCTGCGCGTGTGGAAGCTCTGTATTGGTTCGTATTGGGGTTCCGACCATCTAGCTAATCTTGTCTACCCTCTCTCATCTCCATGGGCAAATCCACACCCTTATATACAACCGAGAACTCCATCGTTTCTCTGTTTATCCTCCCCTCGTTCCCATTCCTAATCCATTCACATCTCCTGATCAACTATACCCCGCTTTTCCTTCTTTCCGTTTCCTTCTCTCCACTTCTATTAACTTCCTATTTACCCGGCTCATTGACCAATCACTGATCCTTCTCCTGGCCATGTGTTCGGTAATCCCTCTCCAGTTCCGACCTCTCCTCTCCTTACATTGGTCCAGAACATGTGCGAGAACCTTCTACCTCTCTTATAAATCAAACTGTAAGCATGACAAATGAAATGACAAAGTCTCCAAGAACTGCGGACAGACTTCCGCTGCTTCCTTTGAAGGATCTCAGGCAACTCTATGATCAGGTGGAGTACCGGTGATTTACAACAGTTGGGAGTTGGAAAAAGAAAACGTAGGCGGGGGCTGGGGCTGGGAGAACCCGGGAGAAGGCTCTCATGTCTTGGCTACTGTGGGCATATGGGGTAGGTTCTAACAGCTTAGTCCCATTCTCAACGTAGCCTCCCACAAACCTCCCCTACTTCCACTTCCGTTACCACCGCACCATTGACTAGAAACAGTGATCCTACTGCCGTGCGACCTGATTCACTTGGTGCCTAACGTCTCGCCACGCAAAATCCTTTCGGCGGTCAAACCATCCTCATAACTCCTTCTTTGTCTTGGGGCTTCGTTGTATTCACCCCAGTCGGATGCATTCTGAGCGCTTTCGGGCACTAGTATCCTGGTGCTAACATTCTTTGAGTTAGGTCTACCTCCTTCATTCCCTTACGTCAGCTCGGTCGCGGAAAATGGTCAACGGACCGGATCCCCACCACCTGGCCGCCTTGATAACTTTTGCAACCCTACAGACGGAGTACCAAGTTGCCCGCGACGCACACACCAAACACTTTAGCCAGGAAGACTCAATGTTCTATGAAGTAAAACCCAAGATTCGCACCTTTCCTATCCTGGATACTTTTGCAAGAATATCTGTCTCCCAGGAGAGATCGGAATCTATCGCCATAGCTCTACAGTTGCACCGGGAGTCGCAAGTGGTTCATCTCACAATCGCAGGGAACGATCCAGTTAGGGGGGACCTTGCCGGACACCTTACCAAAATTTGGGGAAAGTTACAAGTCCTCTCCAGTGAGTATGCAAAACGAGAGCGCAGGATTGGGGAATGTGGGGAGAACGGGGGTACGAATTCAAATGAAACGGTACGTTCAATAATCGTAGCCATATTTCGTGAGATACACGAGTTCTCCATTCAAAAACTGGTGAAGCGCGTGAAGAAGTGGTGGCGAGATCTAGTCATTCTCGTTCAGGAGTTGTGCAAACGCCGCGGTGGTCAGTTACAAGGGATTGAGCTGAACCTCATGCATGTGGTGACTGGGTTCGCCGAGGGATTGCTCTTGCTTGATAGGCTTCGCAATAAAGAAGAAACTCCACTCACAGAGATTGAGTGGGAAACAATATACAAGGAAAGCGCGTGGGCCTATAGCAAGGCACGGCTTGTTCTTGCAGATGGTAATGGGTCCGGCTGTGAGAATTTGGCGAAAGAGTTCCAAGGTATTCATGTTCTGCGGTGTGCAGGGTTTCCTTATCAGAGCCTTTGAGCTAACCCAGCATCTGTTCTAGACACCCACCCGGGCAGGCCCTTCCAGCTTAGGCGTGCGCTAGAGAAACTTACCTCTTTAACCCGCCATGCGCAATGGTTAACCGCTTATGCCAAATCGCCTCATTTACGGTTCTCATTGCGATACCAGTTATCTGTCTCAGTTGTCCCGCAGCAAACTCGCACAGTGATCCTACCCACATCGCAAGACAATTGGAATTCTATATTGGAGGCTGTTGGTGTCGAGTTCAAGAACCACCGAGGGAGTGATTCTAGGCTGCTCTTTGAACACTTTCATGAAATTAACCACCAATGCCCTGTCCACTGTGAGTGTAAGGTCATCCAGCACCTCGAGGCCAAGCACAAAAATCAGTGGGACATTGTCGCACCATGTAGCTACATTGCTGTCTCCAAACCCACATGTGCTGCCTGCAAAATCTGGATAGAGGCTTTTAACAGGCTAGGGGGGCGGAAGTTCCACGTGAGAGGCTCTGATGACGGGAAATGGGTGTGGCCTTGGGCCATGCCCACGTTAAAAGAGGAGTCACTGGAGGAGTCTCTTGTGGGAGAATTTTCGGAACAGTATCTTGTGAGCCAGCGAGTAGTTTCTTTTGAGTGGGACTGGAGTAGGAGTCTGCAGCCTAGTTCTTGGAGTTCAACGGGTGGAGCTTATTGCAGACCTACGGAGGCCGAACTACTAGTGTCCCCCGAAGCTAGGCTTAGGATGCTTGATCGATATATAAGTTTGACTCCTTGAAAGCGTCTGTCCGATGTTTTGTGTGTAGGAAAGGGTAATCATTCGGGGAACAAAAGCCACCAAGGGGGATGACCCAGTTTGACCATCTCTCTCCAGTTAACTCGCATCTTGTATCTCTGTTTCCATAGGCGGAATATTTTAAAAAACTAAAATCGAAAGGGGGGTTGGAATCTGTACTCCGAGAGGACTTTTCTAGTTAGGGTAATCGTGCAATTCTCTTTTTCTCCGTGTTGTCTGCTTTCCCTACCCGCTGTCTGCGTGGGCAGTGCTATGCCTTTCTATATATTGCTAAAACAACCTTTGCCTACCGTATTTTCACCCATCATGACCGCTCCTCCGGTCTCAACCTCTTACCCCTCTTTTTCTTTCCTTAAGATTCTCTCAGCTTCTCTATACCCCTCACCATAAACCAATAATATCTCCTCCTTCCACTACATGCTACAAGTTCCGTAGACCCCTGATTCTATTTCATAATACGCCTATCTACAGGAAGTTTCAGAACTTTCCAACCCGCTTATCACAACATTTATAAGCATTATAAAGCAGAAACTTTTTTATCATCCGCTGATCTCCTCTGGTATATGTCATCGGAGTAGGAGGTGTGCCGTAGATAGCTAGAGTGTCAGTGATTTTCAATAGAATATGCCCCTCTGCAATTGGTACCTTGAAGTCCATATCTCAAAAACTGGTTTTAGGCAGTTCACATTAGAAAAGCTTTTCCGAGTACTTGCCCCTTCTATCTTGTTTCCTATCTACTTTGTGCTAGTATTTCGGTGGAACCTGGGGGTAAAGCACGCATGGAAAATTTGGGCTTATTGTCACTCCGCATTAGGGCCAAGTGTGTGCAGGGACAGCCAGTCTCCGGGCTTGTTGTCTCAACTGTGTGGAGTGGAAAACAAAAGGAGAGAAGCGCAACGCGGGGACTACTCAATACCGGAATCAAATCAATATCAGTATTTTGCACAATAGCCCAAACGGGCAACCTGCGCCGTGCTAGAGGATACGCGTTAAAGCATACAGACTCAATTTGAACACAGGTGAAAAATCTTCCGGCCGTTGATCCTGGGTTGAGAGTCGTGTTATTTTAGACATTGCTCAGAACCCTTGAAGCATGCACAAACAGTGACATTCAACTAGCAGTGATCCTAGGCGGCCAGTCCTTCCGGCTTTGAATACGGCCGGACTGGCCCAGGCTTTTTCAGGGACGGCCGGGCCGGACTGTGGGAAAGCGGCTTTTCCAAACCAAAGCCGGGCCCGGCCTGGGTCACCACCAGGCCGATGTTTCAAGGGATCACGTGTGTTTCATTATTAAGAAATATTTCATTATTCAACCGGTCTAACTATTTCATGCGGACAATACATATCCACCCGGGGTGGCCAGGGAGTTGTGTGAAGAATAGTATAGTGTCTTGAGGTAGGACAGCATATTTGGGTACAGCAGGGGTTCATCACTGGATGTCATACATAATGCCAAAAGAGTGGCATGAATATTTTACAAGGTCTTGAGTATACGAGTACTCTCGGCTGCTGAGGCATCCAGTCCAAGTCAAAACACTGCCCATTTGGAGAATCGTGACAGGATGAACTTTGTGGCTATTGAAGTTGTGTAGAATCCCATGATGGAGGGGTGGGCAGGGAAACAAAGGAAGGAATACAAGTCCTCAAAAACAGGTCAGACCAAAAGGTACCACCTCACATTTTGGAGGCCCATTTTGTGAGGTCAAACATTGAAGTTTGCGCCAGGGGAACACCACCACTCAGTTGATCCTTGAAGAATCACTCAACCTGGGATTTTGACCTCCTACCTTGCGTCGGCAAAACCCGCTCTTAACTTCCATGACGGCGGTCCTATCATCGCTCGTATTGCTTCCAACACTCCTATCCAGGTTGATCATCCATGCTTGTGGCAGTACTTTGGCCGGACAGGTAATCCCGCTGTAATGGCCGTATTTCCTGGTGGGCTAGGGGGACGGATCTAAAGTGCTCTTAAAATCTTGCCGCTATGCTCGGCGAAGGACAAATGGCTCTATTTCTCGTTACTCACTCCCCAACCCAAACCAGTTCGCTTATTTTCACTCTCTTCACCTGTATTTTCGTTGCTTCTAGCTTTCTTTATTTCTCTTTCTCATGCCAGATATCTCTGTCCTCTCTTTAATTCAATATTATTCTTGGCCAGATTGTTAAGTCTACATACAGAACTGCTATGCACAATCCTAGCTGCCATAAAGTACTCCGGGGGGTGCACTGAAGCCTGCGAAGACCCTGAGTGTCTAGTGTTCCCGTATAAAAAATAGAGCTAACGTCGTAAGCCTAAGAACCCCATTTAGCGAGTTTCTGGGAGATTCTCGAAAACCCAGCGATGAAAAAACCACTTTTGTTGGTACACATTAGAGATCTGACAGCGCTACCAGAAGCAATGACAATTCTGGGGGCGCAGCCAGGTGAGGAGGGACAGGTTGTGAATATGCTAAAAGATTTAGGGGGTTTTTCACAAAATAAAATAAAGATGTAGAGGGCCTCAGGATAATTTTGTTGAAGGAAGGATGGTGTATGGATCAATGCCGAGCGAACGATTAATGCCAAGCAGGGAATACTAAAATGAGGCAAGGATATGGTCACCACGGGGTGAATGGCTGTTGTTTGTATCTTTACATAGGGGGCCGGTTCCTGGCCAGTTTAGCAGACTACCGGATTCCTGCGCTTGCATTCACCTCCATGCCTATTACCCTGCTGAGAGTTACAAGGCACATAGTCCATGATCTCTCATTATCTCCCTTGCAAGATACCGTACATAAAAATACTAATTATGTACAGTACTACGGGACATCTCATGCACCTATGAATTGGGGGACTCTACCACCTCGCATCCCTATCTTCTGACAGTTTCACTACCCTCCATACTACCACACAGCGGGGGAATACGTTTCTAGGTGAAATCACAATCATGCGGTTAGTGGGTTAGGAACAAGTTGCAACACACTTGACATTATTGATAAAAGGTAGGCGTGGCATTCCTCTTACTTGTATGATACAGTATAAGGATGGCAACCAACTTTCCACGTTCATGCTCGCTCACCCCGTAGAGCAAAGCATCCTAGACGTTATACCATATAAAAGAGGATACTCCCACAGAATACATCTGCGAAGTACCAAGAAAACATTGGCAGCAAAGATCCTGGTTAGGAGTAAAGAGTGTCTCCTATCTATTGCTCTTACACCTTAAAATATGGCGAAATCCGCTACCTCCTAAATCATATAATCTCATGGTACAACGATCAAAGTTCCTTGAATAAATCAGCGACTGCCTGAGAGAGCATAATGTTATCCCTGATAAAGCGTCGGATCTCATTGACCAGTATTCGCTAACTATTAACTTGTCAAACTTGACCCATCCCGGTAGCCTGCGAGAGTGGATTCTGAGAGCTTTTATGGTACTACTCTGCGCACGGGACAAACCGCGATCACCTGGTAACCCCCCCATTCCACCCTGTCCCGTCCGGGGCGTGTGCACCTATCCTCCAGTCCCAACAAGTCCCCTGGATCACCGAGCACATGGAGTGCGCAAGCGTAAATTCACCGGTCAAAAGTGCGTAGCAGTTTAGTGTACGTTGGATAATACAAACCTAATTACTACGATTTTTTTGAGGGGGGGTGTAGGGGCAGACGGACAGGATGCAATGGAGAGCGGGAGGTCATAATTTTGTCTCACGGGATGTCTGTCAAATGGCAAGGTCTATAGGCAAAATACTTTCAACTATGCTCCTATTTGAGAAAACTGCATTGCAAATGCAGCTCTGTATCCCCCCACCCCCCGCCAATATCCCTACCTATATATAACCCCCATAAAATGGCTCTGGTAGCAAGAACCAGGGGGGTAGACTGTTTTCAAGATTGGCAATGATTTCAGCATTTTTAGCAAAGATTTGTAATGATCGGGAACTACGCTGGGCTCTGCAGACCTTGCCAGAAAGAACCTGTCTCAGAAGTCGGTGGACAAACGATAATGTCTCATATTGAAGCGGACCGTTTGGAATAGAATTTTTTCGTGCAAGCTAGCAATGAGACACAGTAAGAAGCTATCCGAAAGTGCAGTCTGGCAGCCAAATTCAAACACTAGCCCGCTGTCGGATAGGGGGTGAAAATTCCCCAGTTCCACCGAGAGCCCTCCCCAAACAGGGTTCCAAAGAACCAAAGGCTGAAAAAGCTAATTAGCCAGTGTAGGACTAGCCTTAGCACACACTGGATCTCCTTTGGGAGGTAGTCCGAAAAGTATAGACTTGAACCTGTCAAGTGCCACAAGTAGATGCAGTCTCCGGCGCCCGTGTCCGTACAAGATTTTCCCACCCTTTCCTACCCTGTTCTCCGGCACGGGATTCTCAGGAGGGGGTACGGAGTCCCGAGACGGCACTAGAGCGAGTTTGGCGCCCGTCCTAGAGTCGGAGGCCGGGGCGTGTGTGGGCACCGGGAAGCCTGGAAAATTGTAAATCCCGGTGAAAACATGTCAGAGTGATGCAAATACCAACCTTTACTTGATGAAATACCACCCTGCCTATCGCCGCCGGGGCCCGGGTTCCAGGAGATTTGGCCAGGGCTTGGGGCGGGGGAGGGGCGTACCGACTGAGCTGGGTGGAGAACCTGAGGAGAGGCCTGACGACTGAGTGCTTTCTCTGAGTTTCTTTCCCCCACCGTCGGCCACCCCACGCCCTCTCCCCTCGAAATCCCCCGATACTTTCTCCCCTTCTTCTGTCCACCCACGTGCTAGCCCCTTGGCTTCCTCCCCACCCGCAGAACTTCGTTGTTCTGATCGTAGTGGAATTTCATAGTCGGCAGGCTCGTCACCCAACCTTATGCCTCTAGTCCGGTGTTCCCAACCGTCCAGTCCGTACGTCTTTGGGGAAGGGCGGGACGGAGTATAGCATGTAGTCCGTATTTTCGGCAGTGCTAGGACGGACTACGGCCGGGACTAGCAGGACTGGGCGGATTACCAAGGACTGCAGTCCTACAGCCTGAAATCCTATAAACAAAAGGATCTTGTCAGCCACAATATTTCAACCATCCCTGAGGTTGTTTGCGATATAATATGTTGTCCCCCACAGTCCCTGGAGGTCCCCCACCAAC